ATGCATTAGATCAACAAGTGCCCACATGGGCGACCTCACCAATATGATTTGAATAAAAGCATCAAGTTGCAGAAATGCAGTATGATATTATTTATGCAAAATGCTAAAAGCCTGCCACTTAATAACATATATCATTCTGGCTGACTTTCTCCCTGTGAGGTTTCAATGGGACAATGCTTCTAGAGAGCCTGGGGCAGCACCTGGCAAGAGTGAGCCCACGTGAATATCAGCTACTGTCTGTATCGAGAAAAAAAAAACCTCTTGATTGTTGAAGGCACTGTTATTTGGAATTTCAGTTCTGCTGAGGCAAACCTACATTTTACCTAGTAAAAGTGGTTGTGTACCATTTCATACTTTTTAAATTTATGGAGAATATTTTGAAGTTAAAAAAAAAACTAAAGTACACAGGAAAGAAAAATAATGGGCACTGTTAGGAGAAATTCTGTTCTGGGCACATAGCAGGCTTGTCAAAGGAGACGGTGGGTGCAGTTCCGCACTGAGCAAAAGTGAGAGAGCTCAAGGTGTCTTGGAAGCCAGAGAAAGATGCTTTAGGAGACAAGATCTCAACAACCACAAGCATGTTTATAACAGGATTGGGTGATTTTCCGTCTTCTTGTTTCAGTTTTCAAATCCACTTTGCCCATATACAGCTGACCCTTGAACAACATACATTTGAGCTCCATGGGTCCACGTATAGGTGGGATTGCTCCAATTAACAACACAGTATGGTGCTGTCAACATATTTTCTCGTCCTTATGATTTTCTTACTAATGTTTTCTTTTCTCTAGCTGACTTGATTGTAAGAATACAGTATTTAATATGTATAACACTCAAAATATATGTTAACTGACTATTAAATTATCAGTAAGACTTCCTGACAACCTTAGCTAAGTTTGAGGGGGGGTCGTCAAAAGTTATAGATGGATATTCAACTGCATGGGGGTCAGTGCCCCTAACCCCCATGTTGTTCAAGGGTCAAGCTGTATATAGCCCACAGTGCAAAGAAAGCTTCTCTTTTCATGTAGACAGCAATGAAGGAGATGGGGCAGCCAGCTCTGGTCACAAGAAAGGCAAAGGACGGTTTGCAACCATGAGCCATGGAGGGGTGTGGAGCAGCACTCTGGCTTGGTGGGAGCCCAGCTGCCCAGGGACAAGGGGCCAGTGGGTCTGTTTCTCCTAAGTGGGTCTGTAAGACCACTGGCTCATAACCACACAGCAGGCTGGATTGGTGGAAGGAGGAGAAAACCACCCCAGTGACTTCCCATCTGCACATGCTGCAAGTGATTTTCTGGTGGAGACATCACATATCTTGTGGTCATATTAATATTTTTATTCTTCCTTTTGCCATTTATACATTCAGTTTTTATTACTCCTCTTTATCAATTTAAATTAGCTGGAAGTCTAAATGAGATGCCTGCCTTAAATGATCAGGACTTAACGTCTCCTGAAGACTCAAGCAAGAAGAGCTCTCCAGATGGAAGCCCCAGGGATGGGAGGGACAGGTGTGAAGCAGCTCTGCTAGGCCTGGAGGTCTCCTGCCTCCTTGGTGCTTTCCTTTGACCTGACTGTGATCACTCCATTCTGTGCTGAGTCCTGGGGTTCTCTCTGCCCCTGTTTTCCTCTTTTGCTCACATGGACTCTGGGCACAACCTTATTTCCCAGCACAGGAACCCTAGCATCTCAGGTTATCTGGGTGGGGCCCCATGAGGCGGTGTCAAGCTGGAGGTACAGGGCCCTTAGGAAGTGGTCTGGAAGCCAAACGGGCAATCCTGGGCAAGATGGTGCAGGACAGTTGGAAGGTAGGGCAGAGTTAGGCTGGGCAGTGAGTCAGACCACCTGGAAGGTATTGAGCTGTGAGGTCAGAGAGAGGAAGCTGGGAGGAATGCCATGCCTGTGTCTGGGACAGAGATGGTGGTTTCGGCTTGCCTGCTGCATCACCTTTGTCTCCACAGGGAAGAGCTGGTGGTTTGGTCCTGGCCACTGCTGACATTTCCTGATTTCCAAAAGGAATGCTTCTAGAAATACAGGGTTTTGGTTGAAGGAATCAGGCCCATTTCAGTGAGCAGTTACTGAAACCTTCCTATGTGACCTGTATGGGGCACTCTGTGCCAGTAACATAAAAGTGGGCCTAACAAAAGTCCTGCTTCTCCCAGGAGACAAGCACTTATTACTCAGGTTAGTGAGACAAAGTTTTGCCATGGGACTTAAGACAGCCTTAGAGAAAAAGTACATTTGGCCTGGGCATTGAAGGATGAATAGGAGTCCCTAGAGAAAAGGCATCCCAGATCCCAGATGGAGGGGTGGCCAGACAGAAGGCTGTGACAGGCTGCTGTATGCTCCCAGATGGGGATCATATACCTCTGGGTCTACTCAGGGCCTACAAAATGTCTGTGCCTATATCTTTCAGGTTTTGACAGGGTAAGATACATATTCACTCTTCTCATTCCTTGGCTTAATATGCTTCTAATTCCTTCTTGATATGCTAGTAGCTCTCAGCCTGGAAAGGAAGACCACTCCAGACCAGTAAGGACTTGGCCAGTGTATAAACACACTTGTAAGAGTAGTGTGTCCATGCACCTGTGATCCCAGGTCTGGATGTGGCCAGATGCTGACTTCCGCTTAGCTGCACTGTGAGGACCCGTGTGATGCACAGAGGTCTAAATCATCCCTCCTGTAAGATCATGTGAGGGCCTTCCCTTGGATGGGGAAGACATTGACATATGTAGGACAGACCTGTGTTCTTTGGACCCTTTCTATGGCAAAGTGTGAGTGGCCTCAGTGGGCATTTGCTGGTTCTGTTGGGACGCTTGCAATCTATCCATGTGTGTCAGGATTCTACTTCACACAGGTCTCCACAGCCTGTCCCCACAGCTGAAAATCCACAGCGACATCCTTATGATTGCAAACACTCCTATCCTAACCCAAAACATGCACAATCATTCTCAGGCTAAAAAACCATATCACTTAAGCTTCAGTTTGTGTAAACTTAAAGCCATCTGAGAAATGATATGACCTCTTTCTTTCCTTTCCTTTCCTTTCCTTTTTTTTTAAATTGGTTTTGGTTAATGTGCTCTATTAAAGTGTGATTGACATACAAAAGCTATAACATTTGATGTCTACAACTGACAGTTTGGAGATGAGTGTACACCAATGAAAGTATCACTATCATTATAAATAACACAATACAACCTGTCAGGATGCAGTATGGTGGGGGACAATAAAACAGTGACCATGAACTTTGCCAAAAGAGAAAAATCACAAACAACCATGGAGGATAAGACGCAGGGATGCTCACATTCCCTGGAACAAGGAGACGAAGTTCTCAGGGGAGAGCATTAGCTGAGGGCACATTGCAGCATTTCCTAAATGTGGGCAACCCTAGAATTGCAAAACTTGGGTTGGAGAGACCCAAATCATGGGAAGGACACCAGCTCTGAGGACCTTTGTGCAGTGAGGACAGGCTGTCAGCTTCAAAGCAGTCTTCTCTCTGTCTGTAGGTTCATCTGGTCACTGATGCCTGGGAGGTCTACAAACCCTGCACTAGACATGGAGTTCTGACCCCTTCCCTGATCCAGTGTGGCTCCCACACGCCATCCTCAGCCCCAGACCTTACCTTACACTTGAGTGACTTCTCCTGGTGATTTAGCTGCATCCCCCACCCCCACCTTCAGGGACTCACTCTGAACTGTGCCCCTCAACATGTGGTCCAGAGACTAGGACCATCAGCATCCCCTGGGAGCAGGTGAAGTCCCTGGGAGGAGGTGAAGATGCAAACTTTCCAGGGCTGCCTGACTGACTGGGTCAGAATTCTGGCTGGGGAAAGGCCCAGGGCTCTGGGTGTCCACAGGCCTTTCAGGGCATTCTGGTCCCCCTGAGTTCACAAGTAGTGGCAGACAAATGCTGAAGCCTTTCACAAGCACAGAGCTGAAGCCTCGTTTGGAAAGATGTGCTCTTTAGTCCTTCCAGAGCCCCATCTGCTGCTCCAGATGGAGGCTGTGAGGGTCCCTCTCTAGAACCCAGACTCTGCACACAGGAATTGTGTCCACTGAGCCTTGAGGACCTTCACCACGAGAGGGCACTGATGCTCACCTAATGGTCACAGCTCAGCCATCCCTGGGAGCTCACTGGCTTTGTTCTGTGTCTGTTTCTCCCTCACTCCACCCTCCCTCTTCTAGAGCAAACTCCTACAAAGGGATCTATAGGCCCAGTGTGTGTCAAGGCTCACCCCTGCTGCAACACCTTTGGAGCGCATGTGCTTGCATCATCCAGCCAGGCCCCAGGCTGAGCACATGGCAGCACATCCAGGGGCCAAGAAGTCCAAAGGGAGATGCAGTGAGCTCAGCTGGAAGCTTCTGGTTCCAGGACCCTGAATTCCCCTGACCTGGCATCATCCCAGGAGCCAGTGAGCCTTCTCTGCTCTACTACTCAAGGGGGGCTGGGGAGCTGAGGGGGACACAGACACTTGTACTCATCAAGACCTCAGTGCTTCTTTCTTCCAAAGATACCCATTTTCTCTGTGCAGGTTGCCTCTGTCTCCCCCAAATTTGGCTCTTGATCACTCGTCCTTTTTGGCTCTGTCCTTATCTCAGTGGCCCTCCCCCTACTGCTAAGTCCTGGGGTCACCTTCCACTTCCACCTCTTGCTCTTGTGTCCTTGTTTCAGCCTCTGATTCTGGGGCATCCAAATAATATCTCTGCCCAGCGAAGAGCTGAGAGGGATGTTGTGGCAGGGACTCAGCTACAGGGGACCCCTCCCTCCCATTGCTGGTTCTTTCCAACCCACCCTGCCTGGGCTTGTTCCTGTCTCTGGATAGGAGGCAATTATGCAGCTTGGAATGGGGAGGCAGGGTGATGTGTGGGAAGGGACAATGTGTGATAGCAGGGAGGATATACAGAGGAGGAGTTGTTCTGAAGCTATTATACTGGACCAATGCCCAGGGAGGTTTGGAGGGAGCTTGAACTAGAAGGGCAAAGCCCCTGGGTCCCCAGATATCCATAGTCATGCCACATTGGCAGGTTGGGCAGGCTCTGCCCTGGGCCTTGCTGCTGCTTCTCTTAGGTTCCCAGTTCCTGGTGACTCAAGGGTCAAGATCCGAAGAGGAAGCAGAGAGTGAAAACCAAAAAGCCATGCAGAGCTACTTCCTTGCCACTGTGGAGTATGCCTTACACATATTCAACTTGCAGAGCAATGACACGAAGGCCTACAGGCTGGTGCGCATCCTGAATTCCAGGAGGGAGCTGGTAGGTACCACACCCTGGCCTAATAATCTGCACTTGCTATGAAGTCAGGGTCAGGAGTGGGGGGGTCCTATCTAGGGATCTTGTTCTGAAGTCCATAAAATAGAGCAAAAAGACAAACTATACAGTTAGTTTCAGTTTTATGAAAAAATTTGAAATTTTAAATACCCAGGTCAATGTCTACTGTAGGTAGGATGTTCTAATTTTCATCCTTTGATGAAGTTACTTATTGATGATCAAAATACAGACTATGAGGCGCTAAAGATCCTGAATAAGGAAAAGAACAAGACAGAAAGGAGGAGGAGGAGATAGATTGAGAAAATGTCCAAGAAGAGGGTTTGAGGAAATAATCTAGCAAAACAAATGCAAACAGAAACAGAACAGATACCAAAAGAAATGGAGGTAGAAGGGCCTGAGAATCAGGGCAGTAAGGATTCTCCCTCATCCAGAGTAGCCTCTGTGACCTCCGAGCCTCTTCTCTGGGCTCCTCCCTGTGGTCTCCACCTACGGGGATGGATGCTATTCTATACTCTTCCCAGACCATGGTTCTCAACCCTAGGGCAGTGTCCTTGTAATGGAGTGTCTACAGAATGCAGCTAGGAAGGTTGTTTTCATGTGGGCTGCAGCAGGAGCATGTATGGTCATGTGTGTATGTGTGTCAGGTGTGGGTGTGAGTGTTTTAGTGAGTGTGTGAGAGTGTGAATATGGGTAAGTATGAGTTTTTGAGTGAGTGTGTGTGTCCCTTTGTGTGACTGTGTGTGTAGGTGTGGGTGTGAGTAGCATGAGTGTGTCACTGAGTGTGTGTAGTATGTGTGCAAGCATGTGTGTGTGTACACATATTAGGGCCCAGGACATTCCTCTCTCCCTCTGGACCTCTGCCCCAAGAACCTGAGGGAAGGACAGTGGGAGCTCCACCCTGCACGGAGCTCCAGCCTCCTGCTGTGCCAGGTCCCGTCTGGTTCTGCTGCCCGAGCTCTCTCAGATTAGACCTCTGGGATCCCTAGATCTGCACTCACATTGAGTTAGGGTATTGGGAGTAATTAAGCGTGGAGTGGGGTGGGTAAGGAATGGAAAGAATTGAGCAGAGAAGAGTAAAGAAGGAATACAGAAAATTCCACCTTCACTTTGTAATAGGGCAAGAGGTATCTGGAAGCCATAGTTGGGGGGAATGAGGGTTGTGTGCAAAAGTGGGCACTCTCGGGCTCACATGAGTGTTCACAGCACTGCAAGCCAACTTCCTGTTGTCAAGCAAGTGAAAGTTGTGACGATGGAGTGGTAGATGAGTCTCCTACCCTGGAGCTGACATTATTCAGCAGAATCTTGCAAAGCCAACACCCTCCCAGGCACCTGATCCCTGGAGTGCTGTTGTAACTTCAGAAGCATACTAGAAGTCAGGCTGGGTCTCCCTGGAGCATTTGGGAACATGGGGCTGCAGGGTGCGATGTATAAATGGTGTGTGACCAGGCCTGCGTCTACCCCAGGTCTCACAGCAAACACAGGCCTCTTTGCTTGAATTCCCCAAGCTTAGCTTTAACCCCAGCAAGCTGATCCAGGCCCAGAGGCAGCTCCCTACATGGAGGAGTGTTTGGGGCTCTCCCCACACTGCATGGGTCTACACTGGCAGCTGTGCAAGGGGACCAGGAGGCAGATTCTCACATTAATGTCAATGTCTATTACAGTTCATGGAGAAGAACACAATGGCATTCTCCATGGAGTTGCAGCTTAGAAGAACAAGATGTGGGAAATTTGACGAAGATATTGACAACTGTCCCTTTCAAGCAAGTTCAGGGCAGAACAATGTAAGACATGCAGCAGATCCCTGGGGTCACACAGCTGAGGATGCAGCTTAGGACAGATGTGGAGGTGAAGGAGATGACAGTGCCATTTCTAGGGACACAGACGAGTGAGGGAGCTGCAGGCACTGCTCTCCCCACCACTGGTGCTGCAATAGGAGCCCAGCTGGACAGGCCATCCTCAGGGTCCACTTGTAGCCCCCTGGCCAATCTGGGAACCACCTCTGCCCACTCACCCCATTCCAGTTGCCTGGCCCTTGGGCCCCAGTGATGACAGATTGCTCTTGGCCACACGGGTCCATGTCTCCTGGGAAAGCCACAGGATGTCCCTTCTCTTGTCTTTATTGACGTGCCTTCCCCACAGAATTCAGGGGGAAAATATTGAGATGGGCAACATGGCCTTTGCCAGATTGGCTTTCTCAGGTCCCCCTGAGAAAAGAGCCTGTGGGGTGGGGATTGAAGAGGGGACCACCGCCCTCCTTCCCATGCCCTGACGAGATTCCATGGACTATCAGCTGCTGCACCAGGGAGAATGGTCAAGGTGAACCCCAGCTCTGGGACTAACCCAACTAGGGTGAAGGGCTCCTCTGAAATAGCACCCCCTGGGAGAGAGCACCCCAATGCTATGTTAGGACCATAGGTCACACTGGTTCAGCTTGAGTGTTTTCCTGGAGACCACAGGGCTAAGGATGAGAAAATGGTACAGGAGCCCCTGAGGTCAGGACAAGGTCCTGAGTTCAGAACAACCAGGGCTCAGGTGGGGCTGTGGCTGAGGACCACAGCCTGCATCCCCAGCTGCTCACCCCAGTATGGGTGGTTGGGATGTGTGCTGTGTTTAAAGCAGGAGCCACTGTTTCTAACCATTCTCCACCCACCTTCCATCCCTGTGCTTACCCTCAGATCATCACCTGTTTCTTCATCATCAGCACTGAGCCCTGGAACACAATGTTCGAACTCTGGAACAAGACCTGCTTGGAGGGACACCTGCATGGCTCAGTTGGCTAAGCATCTGCCTTTGGCTCAGGTCATGATCCCAGGGTCCTGGGATCGAGTCCTGCATCGGTATCCCTGCTCAGTGGGGAGTCTGCTTCTCCCTCTCTCTCTGCCTGCTGCTCCCCGCCCCTGCTTGTGCTCTCTCCCTGTGTCAAAAAAATACTAGAAAAAAAAAAAAAAAAAAAAAAAAAAAAACCCTGCTTGGATGGTGCCCACTGATGAAATGTCAGCACATCTGGCTCTGGTTGTTCTTCTCCTGGACACAAGTGATGTCCTGTAGGTCTCCCTTCAGTGGCTGAGCAGCTCTAAGTTGTGTTCTCTTTATTTGCAAATATTTCATGTCTCATACCTGGACATTGTGAAAATTCCTCCTGCTCATTTTCTTCATGTAGAAAAATCATTAAACATTAGCATTTCAAGAAGCTTGTGCAGCATGGTTCCAGACAGAGGGGCTGGGCACGTGAAGGGCTCATCCTAACAGGGCAGTCGAGCGGGCCTAGGGTGATGGTTCTCCTCCCTCTCAGACCTCCAGAGTCTCTCCCGGTGGCCCAATCTGGAAGTACAGGAGTCTCTGAGCTGCTGCCTTGGGGCTCATGAGGAATGACCTGCTCCCTAGAGGTTCAATGACCATGACCCGGCAGAAAACCCAAAGTGCAGGATGGACACAGACAGGCACTCAGGCCCTCAGGACACATGAGGCCCCCATCTTGAGGGGCTTGCTTACACCCATTCCCTGGTCCACACAGCTGTGAGGATGTGGGAGCGTCTGTAGCCTCCACCCACAGAGTGGTCCAGCTGCCAGCAGGAGCAGCAAGTCCTGGAGCCTCAGAAATGTTCCATTAGTGTCTCCCCACCTTTGGACAAGGAGGCTGCATTTTCATGAAATCCCAGGAGACCCACGGGCAATTGAATTTTGAGTGGCACTGCTCTACCAAATGCTATGAGACTCTGCCTGCATCTCCCGGGTGCAGATTTAGCAGACAATTTCTGCAAAAAGAGTTCAACTGTGTTGGCCTTTGTGGGCCATCAGTCTTGTTCTCATCTCCTCAGTGTTGCTTTGAAAGCTCCATAGAAAATATGAATACATATTACAGTGTTGTCTTCCGGTGAGACTGTATTTACACACACAGGCAGGGTATGTGTTTGATCCTCAGGCTGTGGCTGCCACCACCCCCACCCCTGCCAAAATAAAGGCCCCTCCAGTGCCCGTGAAGCTGATGCACCCAGTGTCCCACAGTGTCATCACCTATAATTTAATCTTGGGCTGAAAATACATTTATAATTAACACTTTATTTTAATGATTATCAGATTATTATTTTAAAAATCCACATTCTATATCGAGTAGAGGGGTTTACAGACACTGTGGAAGTAGACTGGTTCACTCACCTTTCAACTCTGTTGCTTCCTTTATCATGTTTAGCCTTCTTGGTATCAGCTCTTAGAAAGGTGATAGAACCTTCTAACTTCATGTGCAGACGCCTATTTGCCTGTAACAGGATCAGCTGCTGTGGTGAATGGTCCAACTCTGTGGTGTTACTGGGATTCAGGTTCATGAGTACTGGAGCTTCTTGATGGAGCGCTCCTCTTAGCATCACCTCACTGCAAACTGTACTGCTCTCGAGGCTACTGGTCTCGATCCAACCATGTACCGTGTCACCACTGCTATGAGAACGTTCTTGCAGTTGCCCTCTGACTAGTGATGTGTGGGAAGGAGCTGGCCCACAATACAGGACTTTGCAGGGAGCTAGAGATGTCTACACTTGGGGTGGGTGATGAGTTTATCTCTTTGTCTCACATGGGAAAGAAATGTGACTTGGACCCTCCATGCTTGTGTGGCTCTGTGAGGATAATGGATTCAAGATGAGCGTTGAGGACCACACCCAATGTGGCACCAGTGGGCCACATTGCAAGTAGTGAGGAGTGAGCATCAGGGGTGCCCCCAGTGGGCAGGCTGGATGGGGGATGGACCGACTCCTTCAGTACCAGGAGCTGGGCCTGCAGCTGGGGTTGCAGTTCACCCATGGACAAGGCCTGTATGCCCACCATAGACAAGGCCTGTATGCCCACCATCTCCATCAGTGTGTCCTCCCCAGGGTCACTGATAATCACAGTGGTGAGAACAACTCCTAGAATCTGCACTTTAGTGTCACCTCAGTGGCAGCACTAAGGCCCGCCTTAACTCTTGTCCCCAAGCCTGTGACCGAGGGTCAGATGCTATGGACCAATGCACAAGGTGCACATGGACCTGAGCAGAGACAAGGAAAGAAGCAAATAGTCAGAGTGACTCCAAACTAGGGAGAATGTGCCAGAAAACACAACACTTCTACTCCATAACCCTGAATATTATCCCAAATGGCACCCTTAGGAGAAAACATGGAGGATGCTATCCCAGGGTGGCATGTGGGCAATTGGAGTGTAGATGGCTAAGGGCAGGGCCAAGGCTGCAGGACTGGCATGTGGCAGAGTTGGGCAGGCTCTCTCAATTCCAGTCCAGGGCCCCCAGCCAGCTCCCTGGGGCTCCCTGGAGACCAAGGGGAATGCATCACAGTTGGCCAGTGCTATATGGTCCCCAGGGTTCTCAGTGGCTTCACACCAGGAAATGGCCTTTGTCACTCACCACCTAGGGCAGAGAGGGTCAGCCAGAGAGTGGGAGCCTGGGCCCCTCTAAACTTGACCCTGTCCTCACCTTCCATGGGTTAATCCCACCTGTGTTCTCTCCCCGTGGTCTGATGCCTAGGGAGAGAGGGTGTGCTCAAGCACGAGGAGTATTGTGATCCTGAACAGGGCTTCTGCCATGGCCATACTCATCTTTCAACCAGAGCCTTGAAGGCTGCAGACATCTGGCTCTACCTGCCAGCCCTGCTCACTGAGGCAGGATGGCTCCAGGCAGCTCATTCCCAGTGCTTTCTCAAGCTCACTCCACAGCCCTGGCCTGGGTCCCCTTCCCTGGATATTCGGATTTCTTCCCTCTCCTGGCCCCAGGAAGGCAGCTTAGGCTTATTCAACAAACCTACTCTGAAAGGAGGAGAAGTGGGCGGGATCTCCGGAGCCAGGTAGAGGTGGACAGGGTAAGAGAGGAAAGGTTTCCCCACAGTACATGATCCTCAATCCTACATCTGTTACAAAGTTGGAGCACCTGGAGCATGGACTCACTGTCAGGCCCTGGGGCCAGAGTCTCTGGGGTGGGGGGGCGGGAGAACCATTAACAAAGCCCCACAAGTGTGGTCTGAGGCAGGATTTAGCAAGTCTCTGCCAGGAGCCATGACTTGATGCCTGCTTTGTGGGCTCTGAACACACAAGAGACTGTCTCCTGGAGCTACCTGATGGGACTTGAGTAGAATTAGTGCAGTGGCTATGGAAAATACATTGGGATCACAGTGGGAAAAGAGCTCCCTTTATGCTTCCTTCTGCAGATTGAGGATTGACTCAGGACAGTCCAGTGTGGGGGTAAACAGGAGGTTGGTTGGTGGGAGTGTCTTCAAGAAAAATGTACTAAAGTCTGCTACCAGACGGGAAAGCTATGGGAGAACAAAGTTGTGTCCATTCTGAGTGATGTTCAGCTGGCAGCAAGGAAGCCCACTGTCAGGCTTTCCCCATGGCTCTGCCTGGGAGATCATACATTGCTGGGAAGCCCATTCAGGTCTCTACAGAGGATGAACCCTGAAGATATCTAATACCACATGTGTACTGTGAGTCCCCAGGGAGACCCTGAGATGTGGACTGGAAGGTACAGGTAGTTCATTTGGGAGATGATCACAAGGGGCACACTGAGGGGAAGGGAAGCAGATAAGGGAGACAGTCAACATGGCTGTTGTTATGGGTCACGGTCCTGCTGGACTATGTGAGAACCCTGTGGATCTTGTCTCTGACCTGCATCTGTGGTGCTGGAACTCTAAGCCTTTTCCTGCTGCAGCTCTATGTGGGGATGGAGTGTTGCCCTTGGGCCTACCTCTCCCCACTGAGGTGTGCCTACTCTGCAGATGGGGTACCAGTTGTACAGAGGAAGCCCTGAGTAGAACTTAGGGGAGAATAGGATCTTTCAGTGATGTGGAGAGTGTCAGGTACTGAGTGGTCCACCTGCATGAGCACTGGAAGGACAGCTAGTTGGAGGAGGGGAGCCACAGCTCCAAGACCAAATGCAGACCCTGCTTATTTGTGTAAACAGTCTTACTGGAACACAACACTCATATTTGTGTTTACATTGTTTATAGAACTTTCAAAGCAAAGTCGGGGATCTGAGAACAACGCCATATGGCCCACAAAGGCCAAAACAGTTACACTCTATGTACAGAAAATGTTTGCTAATCCTCTTTTAGGGGATTCAGGCTGAGTCTCATAGCATGTGGGAGAGCAGTGCCTTTCAAATGGTAAGTGTCCATGGGTCTCCTGGGAATTCAAGAAAATGCAGCTTCCTTGTGCAAAGGTGGGGAGACACTAATGGATCATTTCTGAGGCTCTAGGACTTGCTGCTGCTGCTGGTGGCTGGACCACTCTGTGGGTGGAGGCTACAGATGCTCCCACATCCTCACAGCTGTGTGGATCAGGGAATGGGTGTGAGCAAGCCCCCAAAGACCCACAGAGGGGGGCCTCATATGTCCTGAGGGCCTGAGGTACTGTCTGGGTCCACCTTGCAATTTGGGTTCTCTGCCAAGTCATGGGCATTGCACCTTTGGGGACAAAGGTGATCCCTCATGAGCCCCAAGACAGCAGCTCAGAAGTACCTTGTGCTTCCAGACTGTGACACCTGGACTGGCTGCAGAGGTCCAAGAGGGAAGAGAACCCACCCCCATGTGCCCACCCTACTGCTCTGCTGGGATCAGTCCTTCACCTGCACAGCCCCTCTGGAACCATGCCACACAAAGCTTCTTGAAATGCAGATATTTAATGATATATTCTACATGAAAAAATTGGACAGTGAGGAATTTCCATAATGCCTGGAAGTGAGACCCGGACACTTGCAAGAGAACAACCTGGTGTTGTCACCTACATAGAAATGCTGGTGTCCAGAAGAAGAACAGCTAGAGGCCAGGTGGGGATGGCCTCAGTCAAAGGAAGCCCTCCAAGCAGGTCTTGTTCAGGAGTTCAAACTTTGTCCTCCAGGGCTCAGTGCTGATGGTGAAGAAGCAGGTGATGGTCTGAGGGAACAAGCACAAGAATGGAGGGTGGGTAGAGAATACTGGAAATCAGCGGCTCCAGCTTTAAATACAGCACACATCCCAACCACCCACCCCAAGGTGAGCAGCTAGGGATGCAGGCTGTGGTCCTCTGATGTACCCCCATCCAAGGTCTTCATATTCTGGACCTAGGACCTTGTCCTGACCTCAGGGGCACCTGTGTCATACTCCCTACCTTGGCTTGTGGTCTCTAGGGGAACACTCAGGCTGACTCAGTGTGACCCAAGCCCCTAATGCAGCACTGGGGTGCTCTTTACTGGTGAGTGCTAACTCAGAGGAGCCTCTGGTCAAGGTGGGCTTGCCCTAGAGCTGGGGTTCACATTGACATTTTCCCTTGTACCAGGAGATGGTAGTTCCCAGGAGATGGGACCCAGGTCAGGACATAGGAGAAAAGGCAGTAAGCCCTTCCTTAACCCCCACCCCTTCAGACTGTTGACAGAACCAAGGGGAACTCCAAAATAGTCAGTGAGGCAAAGGTACTGTAGGCCACCTTAACATGCCCCTATTCCTGGAGGTCAGGAAGGGAAGTGGATAAAGCTCAGAGAAGAGAATCCTGTCTCAGCCCCAGGAGACCTGGACACTCATTGCCAGGACCAATCTGATATCAGTGTGGCCCAGGGCACAGGCAGCTGGAATGGGGTGAGTGGGCAGACTTGGTTCTCAGATTGGTCAGGAGACTACAAGGGGAACTTGGGGCTGGCTGGCCCACTTGGGTTCCTACTGCAGCACCAGCAGTAGACATGGCAGCATCTGCAGCTCCCTCACTCGTCTGTGTCCCTAAGAATGGCACTGTCATTTGCTTCACCTCCACATCTGTCCCAAGCTGCATCCTCAGCTGTGTGACCCAAGGGATCTGCTGTGTGTCTTACATTGTTCAGCTCTGGACTTTCTTGAAAGGGACAGTTGTCAATGTCTTCATCAAATTTCTCACATTCAGTTCTGCGAAGCTTTATCTCCATGGAGAATGTCAGGATGTCTTCTATCTGTGGTACATGGAGACGTTACAGTCTCAACCCACCTCTTGGTTAGCTTGAGCAACTACTAGTGTAGATCCATGCAATGTGGGGAGAGCCCCAAACACTCCTCCACACAGGGAGCTTGGTCAGCTTGCTGGGGGTAAAGCCAACTTGGGGAATTCAGAGCAAAGAACCCTGAGGTTGTTGAGGCCAGGGATAGATGTCGGCTGAGTCACACACCATTCATATATCACACCTTGCAGCATTATGTCCCCAGATACGCCAGGGAGACCCAACCTGACTTCCATCATGCTTCTGAAGCTACAACGCACTCTCAGGAGACAGGTGCCAAGTGCCTGGGAAGGTGTTGGCTCTGCAAGGGTTTTGCTGAGTAATGTCAGCCCCAGAGTAGGAGACTCATTTATGACTCCACTGGCACACCTTTCACCTGCCCGAGAACAGGAAAATGTCCTGCATGTTGCTGGAACACTGAGCACATGAGCGCGCACACGCACGCGCACACACACACACACACACATACATACACCAACTATGGCTTCTGGATACCTCTTGTCCTATTACAAAGTGCAGCTGGAATTTTCTATACTCTTCTCCACTCTGTCTACTTCATTCGATCCTATATCCCCCACTCCACCCTCCATTACTCCCCACACCCTAACTCAGTGTGAGTGCAGATCTAGGAGCCCAGAGCAGAACTCAGAGAGAGCTTAGGCAGCAGAACCAGCCAGGATGTGACCCAGCAGTGGTCACAGAGGCTGGAGCTCTCTGCAGGGTGGAGCTCCCACTGCCCTTCCCTCAGGGTCTCAGGGCAGAGGTCCAGAGGGAGAGAAAGGAATGGCCCAGGCCCTAACACGTGCACACATGCACACACACTCACAGACATACACTCAGACACACATATACACACTTTCACACACTCACTCCTACACACTCACACTTGCACACATACTAACACAAACTCACTCACCCACTAATACACACTCACTCAACTCACACTTTCACATACACACACATACTCATTGACACAGTCATACCTACACCCTCTCACCCCCCAAACACACATGGCCATATATGCTCCTGATGCAGCCCATGTGCATCTGTAGACACTCCATTACAAGGACAATGCTCTAGGATATTGAGAACCATGGTCTGGGAAGAGTATAGAATAGCATCCATCCCCGTAGGTGGAGACCACAGGGAGGAGCCCAGAGAAGAGGCCCAGAGGTCACAGAGGCTACTCTGGATGAAGGAGAATCCTTACTGCCCTGACCCTCAAGCCCTGCTCCCTCCCTCTCTCTCAGTGTCTGCTCTCTGTTTTCTAATCATCTCCTTGTATTTGTTCCTTAGAATATTTCCTCAACGGATCTCATCTGTGGATCTTTTCCTTGGTCAGGATCTTTATCACCTCATAGGTTATATTTTGAGGTCATTCATCATTAATGTTATAAAATGATGAAGATTGAAAATACACCTTATATGAGAGTAGATGTTGTCTGAGGTATTTAAATTTCCAAATTTTTATTTTATAAAACTGAATCTAACTGGACAGGTTGTATTTTCCCTGTTTTATGGACTTCAGATGGTGAACAAGATCCCTCAATAAGACCCCTCCTCCCAAAACCCTGACTTTATAGCAAGTGCAGGTCATCAGGCAGGAAGATGTGGTCACCTACCTGTTCCTTCCAGGAATTCAGGATGCGCACCAGCCTGTGGGCCATTGAGTCCTTGCTCTGTAGGTTGAATATGTGTAAGGCATACTCCACAGTGGCAGGGAAATGACGTTCCATGTCCCTTTGTTCATTATTGTCCCCCTTCTCTTGGGATCTCCAGCTGTGAGTCACCAGGAGTTGAGAACTTAGTAGTAGCAGGAGAAAGGCCCAGGGCAGAGCCCATCTGAACTGCCAGTGCAGCATGGCTGCAGGAATCTGGGCAACCATGGCCTTTGCCTTCCCAGCTCAGGCTCCTACCTGAGCCTCTCTGGGCATTGGTCCAGTATAATAGCTTCAGAACAACTCCTCCTCTGTATATCCTCCCTGCTATCACACATTGTCCCTTCCCACACATCACCCTGCCTCCCCATTCCAAGCTGCATAATTGCCTCCTATCCAGAGACAGGAACAAGCCCAGGCAGGGTGGGTTGGAAAGAACCAGCAATGGGAGGGAGGGGTCCCCTGTAGCTGAGTCCCTGCCACAACATCCCTCTCAGCTCTTCGCTGGGCAGAGATATTATTTGGATGCCCCAGAATCAGAGGCTGAAACAAGGACACAAGAGCAAGAGGTGGAAGTGGAAGGTGACCCCAGGACTTAGCAGTAGGGGGAGGGCCACTGAGATAAGGACAGAGCCAAAAAGGACGAGTGATCAAGAGCCAAATTTGGGGGAGACAGAGGCAACCTGCACAGAGAAAATGGGTATCTTTGGAAGAAAGAAGCACTGAGGTCTTGATGAGTACAAGTGTCTGTGTCCCCCTCAGCTCCCCAGCCCCCCTTGAGTAGTAGAGCAGAGAAGGCTCACTGGCTCCTGGGATGATGCCAGGCCAGGGGAATTCAGGGTCCTGGAACCAGAAGCTTCCAGCTGAGCTCACTGCATCTCCCTTTGGACTTCTTGGCCCCTGGATGTGCTGCCATGTGCTCAGCCTGGGGCCTGGCTGGATGATGCAAGCACATGCGCTCCAAAGGTGTTGCAGCAGGGGTGAGCCTTGACACACACTGGGCCTATAGATCCCTTTGTAGGAGTTTGCTCTAGAAGAGGGAGGGTGGAGTGAGGGAGAAACAGACACAGAACAAAGCCAGTGAGCTCCCAGGGATGGCTGAGCTGTGACCATTAGGTGAGCATCAGTGCCCTCTCGTGGTGAAGGTCCTCAAGGCTCAGTGGACACAATTCCTGTGTGCAGAGTCTGGGTTCTAGAGAGGGACCCTCACAGCCTCCATCTGGAGCAGCAGATGGGGCTCTGGAAGGACTAAAGAGCACATCTTTCCAAATGAGGCTTCAGCTCTGTGCTTGTGAAAGGCTTCAGCATTTGTCTGCCACTACTTGTGAACTCAGGGGGACCAGAATGCCCTGAAAGGCCTGTGGACACCCAGAGCCCTGGGCCTTTCCCCAGCCAGAATTCTGACCCAGTCAGTCAGGCAGCCCTGGAAAGTTTGCATCTTCACCTCCTCCCAGGGACTTCACCTGCTCCCAGGGGATGCTGATGGTCCTAGTCTCTGGACCACATGTTGAGGAGCACAGTTCAGAGTGAGTCCCTGAAGGTGGGGGTGGGGGATGCAGCTAAATCACCAGGAGAAGTCACTCAAGTGTAAGGTAAGGTCTGGGGCTGAGGATGGCGTGTGGGAGCCACACTGGGTCAGGGAAGGGGTCAGAACTCCATGTCTAGTGCAGGGTTTGTAGACCTCCCAGGCATCAGTGACCAGATGAACCTACAGACAGAGAGAAGACTGCTTTGAAGCTGACAGCCTGTCCTCACTGCACAAAGGTCCTCAGAGCTGGCATTCTTCCCAGGAATGGGGCCTCTCAAAACTCATTCTCACATTTAATCAATGCCCAAGAATTGATTGATTCATGTTTTTCTATTTTCAGTTATTGTGATAAGTGTTGTATTGTGTATTTCTTTTCTATGTATTTATTTTTATGCCTGATTATTCCTTCTTTGTAAGCAAAGTTCCCAGGTATTAAATTGCTTCTTCTATATTGTTTCACTTAAGAATTTTGAATTCACATTGTGTAAATGTCCAATGTAATTGTTCTTAAAAATTGTTTTCAGTTCTTATATTTATGATGATTCTATCTATATTGGCTTCTCCAGACATTAAGCAATTGCTTTATCTTCTGATAAGCCCCAATCTCAATCACTCCCCTTTCCAGAAATGCTCTGTACCTGTTCACCCATCCTGGAAGCCCCTCTATCCTTGAAACAGGTCACTTGGTGTTATTTTCCCCCTTCAAAATTATCCTATAGCTTTATGCTGCCATATATGTTTCTATGTCATGGAAGTATTCTTATTTTCTTCAGGAATGTGGGGGGTCATGCTGAGGCTCCCACACAGGGCAGGAACTTTAGGCAGCTGAGGTAGGTCCCTGTGTGCATTGGACAGTCCCCCTCCCAACCCTGGGCTCCCACCCCTGTACTCCTCTAACATGATATCATCCCAAGAGTCAGTGAACCTGGTCTGCTCCACTACTCAAGGGGGCTGCGACCCAAGGGGGACAGAGTCACCTGGACCTGTCAAGTGTTCAAAACCTTTGGTCCTTCTGATGACAATGCATTTTCTCTATGGAGGTTGCTTTCCATCTCCCACAAGGCTGGCTCTTGGCAATTCTTCCTTTTCAACTCTGTCCTTATCTCAGTGGCCCTCACCCTACTGTTGTGTCCTGGAGTCATCTTCCACTTCTACCTCTTAGTCTTGTGTCCTTGTTTTAGCCTCTGATACTGGGGCCTCCAAATGATATATCTCACCAGTGAGGTGGTGATGGAGGGGTTGTGGCTGGGACTCAGCTACAGGGGACCCCCTCCCTCACATTGCGGTTCTTACCAACCCACCCTGCCTGGGGCTGGTCCTCTCCCTTGGAGAGCAGACACATTTTGCAGATTTGGATGGAGAAGGCAGAGTAACAGATTGAAGGAACAGAGTGTAATAACAGAGGAGGCCTGGAAGCAAGAGTTATTTTGGAGCCAGTGAATTGGAACAATGCCTAAGGGACACTTGGGTAGGACCCTGAGCTGGGAAGGGCAAAGGCCATGTGTGCCCAGACCCCTGCAATTATGACACACTGGCAGTGTAGGTGGGCCCTGCCCTGGGCCATGCTCCTGCTTCTCTTAGTTTTCCAGCTCCTAGTTATTCACAGATGGAATTCCCAAGAGGAGAAAGACAGTGATATGGAAAGTCATTTCCCTGCCACTGTGGAGTATGCCTTACACATATTCAACCTGCAGAGCAAGGACATGAAGGCCTACAGACTGGTGCGCATCCTAAATTCCTGGAAGGAGCAGGTAGGTAACCATATTTTTTGACATAATGACCTGCACTTGCTATAGTCAAGGCTAGGGGATCTTGTTCACCATCTGAAGTCCATAAAATACAGTGAAAATACAACTGTCCAGTTAGTGTTAGTTTTATAGAAGAAATAATTTGGAAATTAAACACCCTAGTCAGGGTCCATTCACATGTAAGACATATTTTCAATCTTCATCATTTTATGACATTATTTAATGACTAATACTTCAAAATCTGGACTATGAGGTGATAAAGATCCTGAGCAAGAAAAGGCCCAAAGAGGAGATCAGTTGGGGAAATACTCTAAGAAAACAAATACAAAAAGATCATTAACAAACAGAGGAACAGACATAGAGAGAGGTGGCTTGAGAATCCAGGGAGTGAGGATTCTTCTTCATCCAGAGCAGAGCTTCTCTGGTCTCTTCCCTATGGTCTCCACCTAAGGGAATAGATGTTACTCTACACTCTTCCCAGAGCATTGTCCTTGTAATGGGAGTGTCTACAGAATGCATCCAGGAATGCTATTTTCACATGGGCTACATCAGGAGCAGGTCTAGTCATTTGTGTACAGGTAGGTGTGTGTAAGTGTGTGTGTGTGTGTGTAGAGGTGTGTGTAAAGGTGAGTATGAGTAGTTATGAGTGGGTATATGTCCATGAATGAGTGTGTGTATGAGTGTGTTTGAGTGTATCAATGAGTGTGAGAGTGTATATTGTAAGTATGAGGTTTTGAGTGAGTATGTGTCCGTGAGTGGCTGTGGGTGTAGGTGAGGGTGTGTCAGTGAGCATGTATAGTATTGTGAAAGTGTGAGCACATGTGTAAGCACACCCATTTTGTGTTAATGTGAATGTGTCTGTTTGTGTGTGTAGGTGTGGGTGTAAGTGAGTGTGTCAGTGAGCAGGTGTATGTGTGTGTGTGAGTGTGTATATGTGCGTCCTAGTGTGTATGTGTGAGTGTGCTTGTGTTGGGGGCCCAGGGCATTCCTCTCTCCCTTTGGACCTCTGCCCTGAGAGTCTGAGGAAAGGACAGTGAGAGCTCCACCCTGCATGGAACTCCAGCCTCTGTGAACACTGCCGGGCCAGGTCCCGTCTGGGTCTGCTGCCTGAGCTCTCTCAGGCTGGACCTCTGCTCTGGGCTCTCTAGATATGCACTCACACTGAGTTTGGGGTGGGGGAGTAGTGGAGGGTGGAGTAGGGGTATGGATGGAATGAAGTAGAATGGGGTGGAGAAGAGTACAAAAAATTTTAGAAGGCACTTTGTAATAGGACAAGAGGTATCATTGTGTGTGTGTGTGTACGCATGTGTGCACATGTGAGTGTTCCAGCAGCACTGCAGGGCATCTTCCTGTCCTCAGGCAGGTGAAAGGTGTCACAATGGGGCTGTAGAAGAGTCTCCCACTCTGGGGCTGGCATTACTCAGCAAAATCTTGCAGAGCAAACACCTTCCTAAGCACTCAGCACCTAACCCTGGGGAGTGCTGTTGTAGCTTCAGAAGCATGCTGGAAGTCAGGCTGGGTCTCCCTGGGGCACTTGCGGACATGGGGCTTTAGGGTGTGATGTATGAATGGTGTGTTCCCAGGCCTGCATTTACCCTGGGTCTCACAGCAAACGCAGGCCTCTTTGCTTGAATTCCCCAAGCTTGGCTTTACCCCCAGCAAGCTGTTCCAGGTCGAGCTCCCTACGGGGAGGAGTGTTTGGGACTCTCCCTACACTGTGTGGATCTACACTAGCAGCTCTTAATAGAACCAAGACAGGTGTTCCCACTGTAATGTCTCCATGTACCACAGATAGAAGACGACCTGGCGTTCTCCATGGAGCTGGAGCTTCGCAGAACCAAATGTGGGAAATTTGACGAAGACATTGACAACTGTCCCTTTCAAGAAAGCTCAGAGCTGAACGATGTAAGACACACAGCAGATCCCTC